CTCTAGGTTTTGGTCATTCCAGGCACGCCTTGGCTAGTGGCAACATCACCTACCTGTCTGCCTCTGTCTTCACTTGGCTATTTGTCCCTTTGTTCTTATAAGGATTATCAGATTAGTACCCACCCTACTCCTTGGAAACCCTGCACAGGGTCGCTATGGGTCAGAACCGACTCGACGGCACTTAAAAACAACAATTCCAGTATGAGCTTGTGTCAACTTAATGGATAACATCTCCAAACACCTTATTTCCAAATAAGGTCACATTCACACCCCAAATAAGGGGGTTGGGACTTCAACATATCTTTTGGGGGCCCAAAATTCAAACCAGACTCCTCTGGTTCTTCATTCTAAAAAAGTGGGAGAAAGCAACTGGACACACGGAGGCAGTGTAACCCTATGTGACCGTGACAGTGGCTGCTGGCTTTTTATTAACCTTTTGAAAACAATCCTCCACTTTGGGGTAAATCATAGGTATTCAGTCCAATTGTTATGCTGTTGGACGCCCTCTTAGACTTTGACGGTGATGTTTTCTGGCTGTTAACCAGGTGATCTGACTGGCTGGAGGATCGGCTTTCACACAAGTCCGAATTGACTTGCTGGCATTGGGTCAGCTGTGTGCCATGAGAGAAATGTCTTACAGGCTCAGAACCTCAACTTCCTTATCTTTAAAAGAAGAAATCACATGAGACCTTGTATCTGGAAGCCCATTGCCGATTTTGACATGCTCTGTAAATGTCATACGTATGTTTTCAACAACCAGTTATTATTATGTGCCATCGAGTCAGTTCTGACTCAGTAACCATAGACAATCAGAAGAATGATGTCTTCAGGTCAAGGTGACAGTGGTACATTTGAGGAACAGCACGAGGGTGGCATCGAAGGGCCAAGGGGGGTAGGGACAGAGAGAGTAAACGACATGAGAAGTGATTAGACACCAGATCATATACTTGAAGGTTAGGATTAGGTGCAGGGATTTTATTCTAATATGACGGGAAATTGACTGGGAAGTTTTAAGTAGGTGTTTTGGATTGAATCGTATCCTCCAAAACTATGGACTGAAGTTCTGGCCCTTGTACCTGTAGATCTGGTCCTGTTTGCAAATAGAGTCTTTCTTTTGTGACATTATTGAGGTCCTTCCAGGGTAGGGTGACTCTTAAACCCAGTCACTTCTGAGTTGTCAAAAGAGCAGAAGACACACACACACACACACACACACACACACGGGAAGAGAGATACCGTAAGCACAGAAACAGCTGCTTCTTCAAGCCCAGGAACACCAAGGATTGCCAGCAGTCCCCAGAAACAAGGAGAGAAACCCACAGAAAGAACCAACACAGTGGAGACTCTAATAAATCATCCCGTCTCCAAAGCTATGAACAGTGTATTTCTGTTAGTTAATACCACATCCTGTGGCATTTACCACTAAGCCAGCAAGTGGAAGCCACAGCTGATGGATTGAGAACAACCCAAACGTGTGGAGGGTAGATTTTCTTGCAGGAGGGTTGGACATAGGGCGAGGGCTGCGAGACTGCCGTGGTCTCCAGGACAGAGCTGGGTTGACTTAGATAGATGGTGAGGAGGGGACAGGTTTTAGATTTATTTTGGAGATCGAGTCAACAGTATTTGCACATGGGTTGATGTAAGAACTGAGAGAAATTAAGGGTGGACTCTAGATTTTGGGCTTGAGCAACTGGCTTGATGATGGTGTTTCTGCAGGTGGGAAAACTAGGGGAGAGATGATTTTTGGAATATACTGAGTTCTGCTTTGGACTTTTTATGTAAATTTGATGCGAAACTTGAAGGAGGAATAGGATCTCAACAGGATGAGAAGGAAGATACAGCATTTGGAAAGAAATGGTTTAAGCAATGAACATATATCTTGTGGTTGCGACTTGCCGGTGAGTCAACTCTGAGCCTGGTGATGTTACCCATGTTGTTGTGGTCACTGTGTATTTTGAGTGCCTTCTAACCCAGGGGGCTCATCTTTCATATTCTTCTGCAACCACTGGACTCATTTTCAGACATAGATCACCAGATCTTTCTTCCTAGTCTTCTCAGTCTGGAAGCTCTGCTGAAATCTGTCCACCCTGGGCGGCCCTGCTGGCATTTGAAATACTGATGGCTTTCAGAATCACAGCAACGTACAAGCTGCCACAGAAGGACAAAAAGACAGATGGCTGGAGGACAGCTTATGGAGGGAATGATGAGTCCGTCTGTTGTGGCTGGACATTATGACCAGCTATGAAATGATGACCCTTTGATCCTTCCCTCATTAGAACCCATGCATTGATCTTAAGTGGAATAAACCAGAGAAAAATTAATTCATCATGTCCTTACATGTAAGGTCATTTGTTATCTGCAATTGATATACCAAATATACGCCCTCGTTAGAATTCTCCTCTCATATAAAATGGCCATCACCAAATATTAAAGTTGCCTCATTGGCCACAGTTGCATTTCGACAATACTCCACACAGAGGCCTTTCTTGTCTAGACCACCCCTAGCACCTGCTCTGCAGATGGGGGTGCTCTGATAGCAGCTCTCTGTACTTTAGCCAAGTTGTTCTCAACCCTAGTAGACCCCAGGGCTTCTTTCTATAGTATGTATTTTTAAAGCTTTTATTGTGAATTGAGTGATAGTTTACATGGGAGAACATCAGTTTTGCACTCATCCTATTGTATTTTGTTTCGTTATAATGATTACAATCCCCTCCATGCATCATCATTTAACAGTATTTGCTGTGTTTTTTTGTTTTTTGTTTTTTTTTTTTGGTGGGGGTGTACTCAAAGACAGTCAGGACTATATAGTCATTTAAACAACCAAAGGGCACATTCTGCAAGCCTGCCTCCTGGCCACCAGCACACAGTCTTTCTCTTTCCATGAGTCTAGAGTCCTTAACTGCTCCCTCTCTCCATGTCCTCACCTCTGCCTCCATCTCTGGTGTTGATGCTCCTCTGGTTAGGGTCCATATTCTACTTATGCTCTTCTTTCTTGATGGTCCTAAGGTCCCCCTTTATGTTACAAAACTTCTACCTTTACAGTTGTGATAGTTGCAATTAGTCATGAAGACAATGACTCACTATTGAATCAGAAGAATCCTCTGCCCATCTCCTTTCACCAGACCCGTCAAGACAAGATGAAACTGTTCAGTGGGTACTCTATCTTCCCCCTGCATACTCTGAAACTAAACTCCCTCATGAAAATTTGTAAGCCAGCCACTTCATGCCTTTATAGTCCCCCATTTTAGGTAGACAATATCTAAGTTGCTTGTCCCTTTCAACCCTGTATACAGAGGGGATAGGCTTGATCCTTGATGTGAAGACTCCTTCCCTTTCAGTTGGTATTTAGATCTACTACATCCATAGTATAGGTCAAGTTCTTCAAATTGTAGCAATTTACACTTGCTTCCTTTATCAGATTTCTTTATCTTCTTCTCGTTGAGCTTGGTCATCAAGCCATCAAAGCTAGGTCAAATGGGTTTCTGTAGTATTTTGTAACATCCTTTTTACTAAACAAATCACATTCATAGTTAATACAATCAACTTTTACAAAGCTCTGCAAAAAAAGAATCAATTCAATGTTGTGATTGTAATAAAAAGAACTCAAAGAGTGATTGGAACTTAAAGGGTGTACATGTTGTTGTGCACAGCTACCCAGGGGGTATGTTGTTGTTGTTGTTATGTGCTGTGAAGTCAGTTCCAACTCATAGTGACCCTATACAGGGTTTCCGAGGCTGTAAATCTTTACAGGAGCAGAAAGCCTCATCTTTCTCCCACAGAACAGCTGGTAGTTTCGAACTTCTGACCGTGAGATTAGCAGCCTAATTCGTAACCACTATGCTACCAGTGAAGGATTTAATGTGTCATGACTTTTGACATACCAAGCAGCTCTTGGTAAAGGTCTAGACAAAACCAGGTCCAGTTGTTCCTTGATTTACTTGGTACTCGCATTCCCAGAAAACTAGTGGCTTTTGTGTTAATATGTAAAACAGAGTTTAGCTCTAGAGTTAGAAAATTACAAACTGGTTTTTAGCTCGCTAGAATGTCTGGTAGCATATTAGAAGGTCGTGTAGAAGGGAGAACTCATCAGTGTACAAGGATGTCCTAAGCATTACAGGACACTCACACCTCTGTCTTCTGCCCACGAAATATCCCCACAAGTTTCCAGAATGTTCTCTTGGGTTTGTGCCACCCCTGTTATGAACCGTAGCTCTAGGTATTCTCTGAGCCATTCAGACACCACCATCCTCACATACAGTGAACATTTTACACCAAGCTAAGCATTGTACTGTTGTTATTAAGTGCTGTTGACTCAGTTCTGACTCACAGTGACCCTGTATGGGATTTCTGAGGAGCAGCTGGTGGGTTTGAACTGCCAACCTTGTGGTTTGCAGTGCTGTGCTGATCCTACAGTGCCACACCAGGAGTCCTAACCACTGTGTTGGCAGCAGTCAGTCTGTCTTGTTCCTGGCCCAAGATATATCCTTAAAAAGTATGGAGGGAGGAAAAGATCCATTGTGGAGTGGCCTTTTACATCTCCTTTACATCTGGGCTGTTGTTGTTAGGTACCGTTGAGTCTGTACTGACTCATTGTCACTTTATGCACAACAGAACAAACTGCGCAGTCCTGCGTCAACCTCACAGTCATTGCTATGCTTGAGCCCATTGCTGCTGCCACTGTGCCAATCCATCTTATTGGGGGTCTTCCTCTTTTTCGCTGACCCTCCACTTCACCAAGCATGATGTCCTTCTCCAGGGACTGGTCCCTCCTGATAATATATCTAAAGTATAAGAGATGAGGTCTGGCCATCTTGGCTTTTAAGGAGCCTTCTGGCTGCACTTCTTCCAGCACAGATTGGTTTGTTACATCAGAGACACAGACTTCAAACATTTTGATGAGAGAAATAGAAGCAACCCTCCCCACTGGACTAACAGGTCCCAGAGCCTAGATGTTCTTCGATCCCTGATCGTCTGTAACACGTACCTTTCCTCCTTCCTAGTGTGGGAGAAGTTGGCCTACTATGAAGAAAACACAAGGGATTTTCTTTTCCCGGAGCCCAAGCTGACCCCCTCACACCCCAGCTTGTATCGGGAGGTGCTCATGAGGACGACTGTAGGCTTTCCGGTAAGTGAGCTGACCCAGGTGGGCTTCTGTGGGGAGAGGAATTCCTGTGAAAGCTTCACCATGGCAGACCCCTTATTACTGTTTTGTATGAGGCCCTTGTTTTTCCATTCAGCTGAGTCCCTGGGTGTACAAATGATTAACATGGTTGGCTGCTAACTAAAATATTGGAGGTTCAGGTCCACCCTCTGATCATCTATTTCCCCAAATTCAGCCATTGGGAACCCCATGGAACATATGTGTACTCTGACACACATGGGGATGCCATGAATTGAAATCAACGTGACGGTAACCGATTACAGTGTCTGTCCTGTTTAGATACTCAACTCAACATCCCAAATTCTCTCTGAGAGGCAAAAGCTTTAAAGACCTTACAGACTCAGTCCCTGCTATACCCGCATCATCACAAGTTTATAAAAAGGTTGCCTTGTTTTTCACCTTCTTTTAATGCAAATTAACAGAAAGATGTGATGTTATCTGTTTGTTTAGTCATCACTACACCCATGGACTCACACCAAGGAGCATAAGAATGATGTTGAGAGGCCAGTGCAGGCCAGGAGCATTTCCTTCTCTGTACACAGGGTCACCCTGAGCTGGACTGACTTGCCAGCACCTAACAGCCTAACTGAGAACAATTATTTTAATAGTAAGAGTGATACAGAGTTATAAGACCATCTCTCCTTTATTGTGTGTTTTCAGATGATCACATGCAATTTTATTTTCCTCAAGAATTCTCATAGGCAAGGCAGACATTCAGTCTCTGTTTAACAGAGGGGAAGATGACAGACAAACTGATGTTACTGAAGGAGTTTATTCAGTTGGTGGTCTGGCTGTTTGGAGGCAACACCCGTACCAAACTCAGAGTATTCCTTTTGGTGTTGTGCCATCTTCATGGCGGTTGGCATGTTGGAATCTGTTGTGTTTGCTGTGTCAACCCATGTCATTGAGGTGGATTGGGTGACATTCAGTAGTCATGGTACATTGAATAGCCACAGTAGACTGAATATTCCATGAACTGCCACAAGAGCGAACAAATCACTCTTGGAAGTAATACAACCAGAATGTTCACTAGAAGTGAGGCTGGTGAGGTTGGACTTGCTGATTTGGACATATCATTAGGAAAAGTCAGTTACTAGGAAAAAACATTGTGTTTGGTAAAGTTGAGAGTCAGCAAAAATGAGGGAAACCTTATTTTGACAAAATGCTTTTCCAATTTATTTGGAAATATAAACAGGTAAGAACTTCAGTTTTTATTATGATAAAATGGTGATCTAGCCCTAGACCATCAGAATGTATTATAAAGCAACAGTATTTTAAACAATATGGTACTGAGCAAATAGAGAAATATTCGTCAATGAAACAAACAAGAAATATATATATATATATTTAAATGATTTATTGTGAATTATGTGATAGTTTACATGGGAGAATATTACTTTTACATTCATTCCATCGTATATCGTCTCATTGCCATGGTTACAATCCCCATTGCTCCCATGCAATCCTTCCCCCGTGCCCCTCAGGTCTTCAGCACAAAACAAGAAATATTTTATATAAGTGGAGTCAAAATTTTCAAAAGGAAAGGAGGATGGACCACTTTCTTTCTCTCTAGTTGTTGTTGTTGTTGTTGTTAAGTGTCATCGACTTGGTTCCAACTCATAGCAACCCTGTATAGGGTTTCTGAGGAGCAGCCAGTGGGTTTGAACTGCCGACCATGTGCTGATGCTACAGCGCCACACCAGGAGTTCAGTATTCTCATCCAATTCCATGGACCAGTGTTTTAAACAGTAGATCACAGCACCGATGCTGGTGCCAGCTCTGTCATGACTAAAACCAGCTGTCGCCAGTCCACACTGACTCATGGAGGTAGATGAGTGTCAGAGTAGAACTGTGCTCCACAGGGTTTGCAGTGGCTGATTTTGTGGGAAACAGACCACCAGGTCTTTCTTTCAAGGTGTGTATGGGTAAACTCCAACCTCCGTCCCTCTCAGTGAGCAGGTAACCATGTTAACCATTTGTACCACTCAAGGACTCCCTGTCATTACTAGTTGGGTGAGTTACTTGAATTCTTTCCACCCTAGTTTCCACAGTTACAAAATGGAGATACCGTTTGGAACTAGCACATGGGGGTGTTGTGAAGACTAGATATGTTAATATATGCAAAATACTTAGGACAGACCCTGGTACGTGGCGCACTATACTACATTATTGCTGTTGTTGATAAGTGCTGTCGAGTTGGTTCTAACTCATAGTGACCCAGTGTAGGGTTTCCAAGGAGCGACTGATGAGTTGAACCACTGACTTTGTGGTTGAAACCGACCTTGCAGTCCTATGCTTATCCTATAGCACTACCTTTTAGCTATTCTTGTGTATGTAGTTTGGATCATGTGTGTCAGGGGGGTCATAGCTATCAAACAGAACAGGTTCTTGAGTGATTTCAGGTTAGCATGGGATGCATGAAGAACCTGTTTCTAATACATTTACTTGCTTCTTCTATGCTGTTTTACTTTTAGGGCATTGCTCCCAAATTAGAGTTTTCTACAAGGACAGCCATCAGAGAACGTGTGTGTCTGTATAGAAACAGATTTCCTGTAAGTATAATCAAGGAACCAGTGACAGAGTGACAGGACTTTTGTCCATAAATGTAAAGAATTTCAGACCAAACTCGGTATACCAAGTTTAGAAGCACCTGTTGCACACAGATGCAACCTGGAGACTTTTTTTGCTACATTTGAATTTCTGTACTCAAAAGGATTTGCTCAGCCAGACTCTTAGTCAGAATACGGATGTTTGCCACGTATTCAGCACAGTGTGATTGGTGACGTAGTGTGACCCGGAAGCTGAAGTCACACATTTGACCCTAGTAGGTTAGTTAGCCTTTTGGGGGTTGTAGTTCTGTGGCGCTTGCTGCTGATGGTATGAACAATCGTATTTCCTTCTTTCTTTGGCTGCAGCTCAGAGCCATATTTGTGGATCGTCTTTGGCAGTCGCACAGGGTCTCTGGGCATCCCTGCCTCCATTTCACTCTCTTGCTCCACACAAAGTCCCCCTTCTGTATTTCTTTTACCTTACTATATACTTCACTTTGCAGCTATTTAAAATCCTTTCTAGAACAAGATGGATAATGAATTAATGCAATTTGTAAAGCTTCATTAAATAAATACTTTTAGAGCAAGGTAGAGTTAAAATTAGTAAGGAAAACAAAAGGCATGTCATCCCAAATGACATCTTGAAAAATACCTTTAAAATGTAGACTGTGTGTTCAAGGTACCTAATGAGAAAAGACTGTTAATCTGAGGAAATCCATCATTCCTCTAGCATGATAACCCATACAATAGGAGACTAATTAGTCATTTTAAGAAAGACACCTCTACTATTTTTCGTTTCTCCTTATTTACCATTTGTTTTCTCTAGTCTCCAATCTGTGTGCATGGATATTTTTCAGTCTATATTTCTTTCTCTTTAACCACTTTAATCTTGTCTTTGCTTCCTAATATGGGTATTTAAGCGTTCTTTTTTAAAACTTTTTTTTTTTTAATCTTTATGCATTCCATTTAATTTTTTGACAACTTCCAGTTTTACTGGATTCATATTTGTACATTTCATGTTCCAATTGTTAATGGATTTTTTTTTTTTAA